TAAGTAGAAGTGCAGAAAATGTTTATTGGAGCATTGGTACCAAACAGAAAAAGTTGTTATTGCTCCGGGAAACGTTCTACCTGGTAGCAATGATTCCAAACAAAAAAAAAAGGCACCATTTTCTCAGAAAACAGTGCTCCAAGCCATACATCATAAAACGGTGTTGCAACTGCAGCATCGATGCCAAACATATATTTACTCTCTCCTTAGAACCAATCAGAACTTGCAGGCCGGGTGAGAAATAGACAACTCATCCACCACCCACCATCTCTTCTTGTAACGTATCAGATGGCTCTATCCTCCATAGGGTACAAAGACGATGACCTCAAAGGCAAATTTAGCAAATTGAACAAGCCCTACAATGACCTCAAGAATCAAATTAAACGAATTGAAGCCTCAAAAGGCAAAATCCATGCAACTCAAAAAGATTACATCTCATCCAATAACAATGGAGTGGTAGACCAGGTCATTGAACAATTTTGCCCAACACTGAAATGTATAGAATTTAGAGAAAGACACAAGAAAAGCCCAAACACAAGTGTTGACATTCTATAACAACTAGTGTAAGGGTGCGTATGCAAAGAAGGGTAAATATAAAATTGACATTATACAATCAAATTAACTTTCATGAATGCACCAAAACCAAGACAAATATTCACTTTATAATAGTATAGATGCTATGGCTAGGGGATTCCAAGTTGGGGGATAATAGTTTAATCACGTATTTGGCATTACCTTCAAGTTGAATCAAACCTATGGACATGTCTTGAGCCAATTTTAGACTTTCCAAAATCCATGTTTATGAACTCTCAAAACACATCCTAGGATGAAGTTCCTCACATAATTTCTAATTAGGATTTTTTACCCTAACAACCCTTAAACTTTGCTAAAAAAACATTTTAAACCCTAGAGAATTAAAGTGGCCAATTTTGTTCTCAAACTAGGATGGAAAGGCCACTTTAAGACAAAAATAAACCACGTTAGAGACATCATTGATAGATCCGTTAGACAATGAATAAAATAATAAAATCATACTTATGTGGCACTGTTCAAGTTTGAAAAGGCCACTTTAGATATTTAAAATCCATTAACTAAAAGATAAATTTTAGGGTAAAATACAAAAATCTCCCCTGAAGTTTTTGACAATCATAAAAACCTCTCCTATAGTTTCGTTTTAGCAAAAACCTCTCCTCTATTTTTAGCAAAATCAACAAATACCTCCTTCCTGTCAATGACCAAGACAGAAAACGTTAAAGAGATTACCCTTTTTTTTCAAAATACCTATTTTACCCTTTCTCGAACACTATTATCTTCTTCCTCACACGCACAACAACAGCAGAATGGCAGTGCACTCCCCCCTCCAACCATCCCACTTCTTTAATTTCCCTATGATTCTCTCTTTCTCTCTCCCCAACAACGGCAAAATGGTGGTGCATTGTTCATCTCTACCTCTCCTCTTGTTTGTTAATGTTTCTGTCTCTATTGATGAAACTAATACCTTTCATCTCCCCAGATCACATTGACTTGCAAGATTGGAACGACCAGAGCAGCACCAAGAATCCGAGCAATCACAACGGCATCAACTATCTGATTCCTCTGGTGATTCATCCCACTAGAAACCACAACCAACATATACTTTCTCCGGTCCTTCACAATCACTTCGCTCGAACTCCAATACTCACTACTGAAATCTAAGCATGGTCGATAACCCAAACCATCTGGTTGCTTCCAAAACTTTGTTTCCTCACTGTCCTCCTCTTTGTGGCAAGCGTCCCCGCCATTTGATCCTTGACCCATCTGCGTAACCGAGTCCTTCCTCAAGATTAACGTCTGTGGCTGACCAACGAAGCATGGGTTGGGCGAGAAAGGCAATAGTGGGTTGAGATTGAAGCCCAACCTCAACATTCCGACGAAAGCAAAGTGAATGTTGAGGTTGGGCGTTCCCATCTTGGTGTTGCTCTGGTCGTTCCAATCTTGTAAGTCAACGTGATCTGAGGAGATGAAAGGTAAAAGATAGTTTCATCAATAGAGACAGAAACATTAATAAACAAGTAGCGCAAAGAATCGAAAGATGAAATTGTAAAACACACATTTACAAAAATCCCCCTTTACCAATGATTTTTTAAGGAACGTCTTTGTGGCTTATGTTTCATTCTATTTTTCTTGATTTAAATCAGGCAAACTGAAGAAGAAAGGGAGAGCAAGAGGAGACGCAGAGATGAACAGTGTACTGCCATTCTACCGTTGTTGGGGAGAGAGAGAATTAGAGGAAAATTAAAGAAGAGGGAAAGTTGGAGGGGGGAGTGCACCGTCATTCTGTTGTTGTGCGTGTAGAAAGAAGATGAATAGTGATCAAGAAAGGGTAAAATAGGTATTTTGAAAAAATGATCATCTCTTTAACGTTTTCCATCTTGGTCATTGACGGAAGAGAGGTATTTGTTGATTTTGTCAAAAATAGAGGGGAGGTTTTTGCTAAAATGAAACTATAGGGGAGGTTTTTATGATTATCAGAAACTTCAAGGGAGGTTTTTTGTATTTTACCCTAAATTTTATTAACTTTGAAGTAAACTAGTTCAAGGATATTATCAAATTTGAGTCATTACGTTAACAATAATTAATTTAATAGTAAATAATTACAATAATTAAGAACAAATTATTACTTAAACACTAACTTAATTATCTTAACTAATTGTAAACTAACAATCACTTAATTAACTTAGTAACTCAATTTGCTTAATTGCATTAATTTACTTAATTTCTTTAATTACCTTTGTTACTTAATTTGCTTAATTAACATTAATTTAATTTACTTATTTACCTTAATTAGCTTTGTAATTTGATTACTCTATTTACTAAACTTAGTTTACTTAATTTACTTAATCAATTAATTATTTATTTAATTACATGATTTTAAAATCGCCATTGACCTAATTGGTCAAACCAGTTGACCTAAGAACCAGTCAACTACCTGATTCTATTTTGTAATTGCCCAAAATTTTTCAAAAAAAGTGAACTTGGTCAATAAAATGTTAGATCTAGACTGTTGAATTGCTAAAATTCCCATTGGATATTCTAGAGGGTGTTTGGTTTCGTTTACGTTTATTGAGGGTGCCAAATAGGCACCACTTCAGCATTTTCTCTCTTGCTCTTCTGCATGCATCGAAAATGAAAAAGTCAATTTTAGTTTATGTGCATGCCAATTATTTGTGGAAGTTATTTTTAAAGCTTCCACAAACGGCCAAGCGTTTTTTCACTATTACACTGATGTGGAGCCTAATGGCGCCTAGTTGTCATCAACGGTTGTAATTATTGCATTTCTCGATTTTACCAATAAATAAAGTACAAACATTTATTCAATAAACATAAATGGAACCAAACAGATACCTAGTAATTTACTATTGATAGGAACGGATATATCATTTATGGAAAGAGGTTCTCAATGCACGGCTACGATGATGTGAGGGGCGTTCTGTGAAGAATAAAGGGTTTTTAGTAAATAAGGGCAACCTTTTGCCCTTAATATCAATAAAAAATAATATTTTTACATATTAATCAAAATATGATAGCTTTTTTATAAAAATATCAAGAAAGGGCAGTTTGACAATGTTGCTTGTCTTCCTCCTCCCGCCTTTGTATTCACATCCTAGAAAACAAACCGGCAGTGGGGCGTCTCCACCGTGACGTGGAGGAGTCGAACTCTTCATCTACACAGAGCAAGACAATCAAGGGTCTTCCAGCTTCAGTATCGGAAGCAGTTTCAAAAAGATTGAGCCCTCCGCTCATGAGAACGTTGTGACAAAATGCTGGCGAGGCTTGGGCGGAACACCATGATGGCATCGGGTGGGGATGAACCCTCCACTCGTATCCTGTTTTGCACACCGATATGGGCGAACAAGAGAAAGAAAGAGGAATGAAAGGACTAGATTCATAAAGAATGGCCGGAATCTTATGATTCATTCGAATGAATGCAGAAATAGAGGAGGAAGACGAAACACCACTGTCCTTTTTTATATTTTTACAAAAAAGATATCTCATTTTAGTTAATATTATAAAAATATTATTTTTTATTAACATTAAAGGCAAAAAGTTGCCTTTATCTGCTATTCTCTCAAGAAAAAAGGGAGATCTGAACTCATAAGATTATCATCACATCACAGCCGGCTTCTTGTCCTTGATTTTACCTGAGTCGGTTTTAAATTACTGAAAAGCCCCGACCGTTATAGTTGAGTGTAGAGTCTTATTAGACTACTACTAATACTAATAATAGTCTAGTAGACTAGTACCACACGCATGGCATAGAGTTGATATCTAATGACGGGATCTGCTCCTCACACATGGCGCCTCACAGGCGTATATCCACTATGCATTGAGAACATCCACTGCGAGTAATATCTTACAAATACGAGAGATGTTTCCGATTTATGGTAGGATGTGCGTGTGAAGTTGGAGTGAAACGCACTATGTGAGGAGCAGATCAGATCTCCATCTCACCATGAGACTGAGACCCACTAGTGAGACCCACCATATATAAGATGTGCGTCTGTGCGATGTGAAATTACGTTGGTAGAGGATTGGAAGGTGTTTGGTTGGCAGGTGATCCGGACCCAACTTGGATCGTTGGGATCTCCTCAAAGCAAAAACCGTGCGAACACTCGTCACATGGGAATATCTCTACTACATAAATTCATGGGAGATATTCCTCATATGCGGCTGGATGACCGTCGTCTTCATATGAATGTTCGTACGCACGCCTTTTTGGTTTCGGGAAATTCCCGTCTCGGTTCGTTAGCTAACGGCCGTGATAGAATCCGTTATGCCACGTCAGCTCGCGGTTTGTTAACCTCGTTCATGTTCATTGGCGCGCCATTCCGTTTGTTGGAAAATGAAATCGGAATTCTAACTCCCTGCGCCTGTCTTGGTCTCCTTGCTATCAGGCAGCGTCAGGTATGTAATGTTTCCTCCAGTGCTTCCTCTTTCCTAGAATCCTAGTGGACCTCTATATATAATCCATCTCTCTCCCCATTTCTCAATCTCCGCCTACTGGCAAAGATCTTTTTCACTTTCACACTTTTCTTCTCTCCTTCAATTCCTTCCTTCTCTTCTCTCAGTCTGAGAAAACAAGGAGGCAGCCTCCTCTGCTCTGCTCTTTCGCTCATTCAGGTGAACTTCTTGCTATCTTTACTTCTTTCCTTTCTTTCTTTCTTTGTTATTGTTAGTTAGAATTTGGAATTATTTAGTTGTTTTCTCGGCTGTTTAGACGTTCTGACTAATGAACAATCTTGTGTTAGATCTGCTTTTTGAGATTTAATTTCTTCTAACCTCTCTATAGGTTTCTAATGTGTTCTTTGTTTCGTTTTAAGTTCCTCTGTTTTATTAATTCTACCGTGATATTTGGTTTCTAACATTTTTAATTTTTCCTTGCTTATAGATCTAGACATTATCGACTCTTCAAATATTTTCCATCGGAAGCTTTGCCAAACTCTGTTTAAATCTCTGTAACTTTCCGATAAAAGTAAAGAACGAACAGGAGATCGAGATTTAATTTATTTATTTTTAACTTGATCATCTGCATTTAACTTATAGTAGAAAAACCCGAGATGTCGCAGGTTCTTATCACACAATTACTAAGGTTTTCTTTCTTTTTGTTTCCATTCCCTAGTGAGCGACATCCTTCGGCAAATGCAGAACGACACCCCCTACGCCGCCGGTGGCGGCAGCAACATTGCCGTTTCTCCACCTCCCCTATCACAACAATCACAAATTAAGAAGCCGTCTCCAACACCTCAAAAGCAATCCGACGGAAGAAGTAGCCTGAACTCGCTCTATTCCATCTTCTCTTCAGAAACATCTCTGTCGAACTCCGTCTCACTCTCTCCTTCCGGCTGCTCCTGCGATGGAGATACTAGCAACGCAATCACCACGGAAAATCGCCTCTACCTCGTCGGTCTCACCTTAGAATACCAACAGTTGGTAAATCGGTACGGTTTATGCCTCAAGAATCTCCAAGAAACCGCCAATGAAGTCGAAGCTCTTCGTCAAGAAAACGCTAAACTCCGGATGGCCAACAAAGATCTGACCATGCGTTTGAGCATCTTGACTCAAGCTTCACTCCAGAGCTTAACACAGGCTTCTCTCCAAAACTTGTGCAATCCCTCTAGTCTTCCATCTCTTTCCATGATTGATGAATTTCGCCGTCTCTGCGTTGGAGATAACTTGCGAAACAGTAGCGTTTCGGGCGAAATTTCGGATTCTAGTCCAACGAGTGTTATCGGGAGTAATCAATTTGAAAGTAGCACCAATCGCGTTTCGCTGCCGAAGAGTATCTCGGTTCGTTCAAGTGGTTACTTGAAGATGAATCAAGCTGGCGGGAGCAGTGGAAGCTCCACTCGCAACAACCGCCTTCGCGTTGCAAGTCCCGTCGTCAGTGAAACAGTAAAATATTAAAATCTCGTTAATTCCTTTATTTATTTTTCTAGTTTGTGTTCCTGGTTTTTTTTTCTCTCTTGGTATAATTTTATATTACTTTCTTTAAAAAACTTCATACAATATTGTTGTTATTTTTTGGGAAAGTAAAGCCCACAGTCTTAATTCATTCATCATCAAAATTTATCTCACAACTGATTATTTACTTCATTTGTTGTTATTCATACAATTTTGTTGTTAGAAAAATAACATCATGTATTTACTTCATTTTCATCTTCAGTTTCGAAGATAGTCTTACCCTTAATGGTGTTAGTTGATTATTTAGACAAAATTCAGTTCTGTTTGCTATACGAGGGTTGTCAAAATTGTTGATCAGTGGAAGAGGGTCAAGATTCATGGTATTTGCTATTATAATCTGCAAGTGTTGCTCTCCAATTACATTATAATAATAGTTAATTAAGTACCCATATATAGCAAGATTCAGGATAATTAACTAATGGAGCTTGTGGTAACCATTGAACGATTAATTCCTGCTACTACTCATTTCTGATGTGTGTGATGCAGCAGCGTGTGTATGTGCCGAGAGGGAAGGAGGAAGACGTGCTGGAGTTCGAGGTCTACAACCAAGGGATGTTCAAGACGGAGCTTTGCAACAAGTGGCAGGAAACTGGGACATGTCCGTATGGGGAGCACTGCCAGTTTGCTCACGGCATTGGCGAACTCCGCCCGGTTATCCGACACCCGCGGTACAAGACTGAGGTCTGCCGGATGGTGTTAGCCGGTGAAACTTGCCCATACGGCCACCGCTGCCACTTCCGTCATGCGCTCACTGAACAGGAGAAGCTGGTGGGACACATTTAGTTAGATCGACGGCGCAGCAGAGATCAATGTAATGATGCCAATACAGGGAGAGAAGGAAAACAAAGGAGCAGTAACATTGAACAAGTTGAGATGTATGTATAGTTCCAGTGATAAGAAAAAGCACTAATAATAACCATGATAAGAATAATTAGTATAACAAAGAAATATAAATATAATAATATCTAGGGGGTATGGGTGGATTAATGGTTGTATGAATTGAATAATTGTTGAGAGAATTGTAAATGCCAGCGGTGGGGTTGGAAGTAGAGACAGATTAAACTCTATTCTTTCAGTTTTGGGCAGGGGTTCGTGATTGTGTAACACAGCTGCTGCAGCCTTTTTTTTCATTCTTTTTCTCGTTTTCGAGGAACCCAGCCAAAACCAAATCAATTTTATGTAACCATCATATTTGATAATTGATACCAACAGAGTAAGTAATGATATTCAATTGGTGTAAATGTGTAATCATTCATGGCCAAATCCACTCTCCGTCTCTCTTATATTTCAGATTATTACGATGTTAATTGCTTCCAAGTTTTATTTATTTTTTGCTGATCTGGTTGTTTTTATTATACATGTTGGCAAATCGTATAAGTGAAATGGGATGTGGTGTGCACCACATGTGGTTGGTAAGGGTGGAAGTTAGGCTGAGTCAGGTTGGGTTGAGATCATTCCTAGTCCAATGGGAGATTTTGAACATAGGTCTATCAATACGGGTCTGACTTGATGGACCTAAACATATTGGGCCGGTTATTATTGGTTTAACACCAGTTTTACCTTGTTTTAAACTAATTCAGACTTGACCCGATAACATTATATCTATCTATCTATATATATATATATATATTCTTTATTTAACTTTTAAAAAAATATTAGTTCACGCAGCAATGCATCCAGCATCGATACTGTTAAATTAAGTTTGTAAAAACTAACCTGATGGACCAGGTGAGGCCGATTAACAGCCCAAGCTGTCAAATTTGGACAGTTTTTTCTCAGCTTCAACCTAATCCATTTTATAGGTTGGATTATTAAGTTTTTTTCTTTTTCCCTTTATTTTTCGGGGGCGGGGGCCCGGGGCGTTGGTATTAAGTCACAACTGAACATGATAATTTGGGTTGGATGAGTTGGGATGGTGGCCCAGTCATTAAAGTTGAATTGTACGTCAGCACTATTGACTTCAGGAAAACTTTTGTTATAGGCAAACAAAACTTTAAAATATAAAACATAGAGTAGTGGTTAGTATACAAAAAAAAATATATATTTGCTAGTCTTCTTCATCAGACGCTAACCTACACCTTTGGTTTCAGCATTCAGCACCAAAGGACATTAATAGAGGAGTTAGGCTGTAGGCTAGAGTCTTGCTTATTCTTATTTAATTAATTTGATTTTTTATATCTCCAATTGTATAGAAACTATATATATGTTCCTACTTTAGTCTCCTTGTTGATTCTCAAGTACTACAAGTCACAAGTCGCTTCATTAACTTCAAAAGTTTAAAAACTATGTCATCAAATCGCTAGTTGATCACTCACATCATTAGTGGAAGTTTTTCTTTTCTTGTTTGTTTTCAGGTGGAATTAATGAATCCAACAAAGTTCACGAAAAATATATATTTAAATAATTACATGAATTTGTCCATAGAATCTTAATAAAGGGGCCAGAAAACCGGGAAAAAAAGGGAGATTGCTGATCCAACTGGTAAGATCAGAGAGAGCTACCATATTAGTCTTGTGTGCAATTACTTCTGTTGTCGTTCCAACTAGACAAGGCATGCCTAACCAATCAATAATCGAGTAAATACATCAGCAATCCATACAACTGGTAATTGGTAATATCCACGTGGCAACCAACCTGGAGGTTATATAGATCTATATGGCAGATGCCTATTGGTCCTAAACTGCCACAGGAAAAGAATACAAGCTTGGCTTCCCATGCAATGAATATCTAGTGGTGTCCTGCTGGTGAATTGTAGTGTGGGACTCTGGGCTGGAGCTAGGGATAAACTTGGGCCTTGTAACCCAACCCAAGATCGAAATGCTTTGTTAAAGGCCTGACTGGGTGTCAAAGCGGGAAGCCTGCTGAATTGTCTTTTATGCATGAAGCGGTGGCCGGTGGGGCCAATAAACCACAAAATGTCGTAAAAAACGTCTGATGACAAGAGCAGTAGGTGACAGGAATGGTTATACTGTTTCATTTTTCCTTGGATGGTCTACGGTCTACCCATGATTCTCATAAATCCAATTTTTGGAGTCATGGTGTAACCCAAATTGATGAATCAATGCACCATATCCGTGCCATCGTGTAGGGCTTATTTTAGATGATAGACACTATAAATCATCAGAAAATCTCTTCAAATGTGGACACAGTACAGTGTAACATTTACACTTGTTTGAAGTATAAAGTCATGAATGCACCATCCCTGATCCAAAGAGGTATATGTGTTGGCCAAAATGCCAAATTGCCAAGGTAGCCATGCAATGTGAAGAGTGGCTGAAGAGCATCATTGAAAGGTGTCAATTCCTAACTCACCAATCCTTTCTATAAATACCCAACCATGCATCCCATTCGCCACTTCACCTCAGCTCCGCAGTGCAAAGCTTCTTTTGACTTGTTTCTTTACATTATGGCTAAATCTTTTGTGCTTTCTCTTAGTCTTTGTCTCTTTATTTTGTTTCATGGCTGCCTAACACTAGCAAGGCAGTACAAATTAGATGAAGGCTATATTCAGCTCCGTCGACGTCAGTTTCAAGGAGAACAACAACAGAGTGAGTGCCAGATCAATAATCTTGATGCCCTTGAACCCTCTCGTAGGATTGAGGCTGAGGCTGGACGTCTTGAAATTTGGGACGGCAACAATGAACAGTTCCGATGTGCTGGGGTCGCAGCTTATCGTGTTACTATTCAGCCAAAGGGTCTTTCCTTACCTGTCTACCAAAATACACCTCAAATCATCTATATTGTCCAAGGTGATCAGCTCTCTATTACATCCATATATATTAGCATTGCTACGTACAACCTAGCTATTTAATTTTTCTTTTTTTTTATATTATATATATATATATATATATTTGTTATGACTTAGTCGAAATCCATGCACAGGTAGGGGAGTTCTAGGATTATCAATCCCTGGCTGCCCTGAAACATTCCAATCATCATTTGAACAATATCAGCAATCTGAGGAAGGTGAAGAAGATGATGAAGCCTACAGTAGTAGTCAAGGATCAAAGGATCAAGGTGGTAAAAGTCAACAATCGAAGGACCCAAGTAGTAGAAGCCAAGAATCCGAGGATCAACACAGTAGACACCAAGGTAGCAAAAGTCAACAATCAAAGGATCAGAGCAGTAGAAGTCAAAGATCTGAGGATGAGGATCCGGATCAACAGAGCGGACGCCAAGGTAGCAAAAGTCAACAATCAGAGGATCAAAGCAGCAGAAGCCAAAGAAGCAAAAGCCAACAGTCGGAGGATCAAAGCAGTAGAAGCCAGCAAAGATCCCATGATCAACACAGCAGAAGCCAAAGATCCCAGGATCAACACAGTAGAAGCCAAAGAAGCAAAAGCCAACAGTCGGAGGATCAAAGCAGTAGAAGCCAGCAAAGATCCCATGATCAACACAGCAGAAGCCAAAGATCTGGGGATTTTTACCAAAAGTTGAGATTCTTCAAGGAGAAAGATATCCTTTTTGTGCCACAAGGAGTTGCCTATTGGGCCTATAATGATGGTGATACACCAACTGTTGCAATTTCCATCATCGACATCAGGAACGATTTCAACCAGCTTGATGATGAAGTGAGAGTAAGGAAGCTAACCCACTATCATACGTTTATATTATTATGCATGGATGGATGTATATATAAAATCCAAGGCTAGCTTACAATTGATTTCATATTTATGCATGTTAAGAATTTCTGGCTTGCTGGTAATGTACAAGACCAAGACCAAGACCAAGACCAAGAGGAACAACAACAACAACAACAGAAACAGAAACAGAAACAAAGAAGATCATCGTCATCTAGGAGTGAGAAAGTTGGACAACAAAGCTCTAGCAGCGTATTTAGTGGCTTTGATACTGAGATATTAGCTCAAGCATTTGGTGTGACAAAGAAAACAGTGAGAAAGCTACAAGGCGAAAATGACCAACGGGGACCTATCATTCAAGTTGAAAGAGAACTTCGGGTGATAAGATCAATATTGAGTGATGAAGAGGATGAAAGACAACAAGAAAAGAATACAAATGGCTTAGAGGAGGGTCTTTGCAACATGAGGCTCACACATAATATTGGAAAAGCCACGAGTTCTGACGTATACACACCATTTGGAGGACGTGTTGCCACCCTCAATAGCCAAAGCCTCCCTATTCTTGGCTACTATCAACTTAGTGCTGAGAGAGGCCATCTCTACAAGGTGATTAATAAGCATAAATCTTTTTCTCTCTATTAGTTTTGATTGAATTATTTTTAACGTTGGTGATTAATTACTAATGCTCTTTTGTCATTGATAATTTGTACAGAATGCTCTTTTGTCTCCTCATTGGAATATAAACGCACACAGTGTGATGTACGTGATTAGGGGTGAAGCTCGGGTTCAAATCGTTGGAAACTCTGGTCAGACTGTCTTTGATGGGCAACTCTGTGAGGGCCAATTGGTCATTGTTCCACAAAACTTCGTTGTGGTGAAGCAGGCAGGGGATAATGGGTTTGAATGGGTTTCAGTTAAGACTAGTGACAATGCAATGACTAGTCCACTTGTTGGAAGAACTTCAGCAATTAGGGCCATGCCAGAAGAGGTCCTTATGCACTCCTACCAGATTTCCAGAGAGGAAGCAAGGAAGTTGAAGTACAACAGAGAGGAAATGTCTATCTTGTCTCCAAATTTTGAGTCGATCGATGGAAAGTTTTCTATGATATAAAATGATATATAGGACATGAAGGCAAATTAGGTTAAGAATTAATAATGGAGCTTTACATCAAAAATCTTCAACTTTGTATTAAGATAAGAGTTATGTAACTTTGCCTTCACGGCACGGGGTACCCCGTAATAAATAAAAGTACAAATTTTCTCACACTCCTTTTGGACTTTAATTTGAACTTTATTATTAGTTGGGCCTCTTATAGACCACTGTGCAACAATGATATTAACAAGGCATATAACTACTGGAACCAGATCATTACTTTTGCAACCCACATGTTCATCTCACCCATCCATATTCACCACTCAATTTTTATCCCACAAGGCCCAACATGATCTAGCTAATAAAGGAAATTGAAAGACACTGAATTGAGGACTAATGCCTCATGCCTGCTGGTTCCTGCTATGAGATTAGGGATGGAGATTGCCAGATCAACCTGTATCCATTGGGATGGTTTGGGATTGGCAATGGGCCGGAAATAATGTGAAAGGGTTGGCAATTCAAAGGCTTGATGATCTGGGTTGGCCAGATCATTCCTCCACGTGGATGACATAAGAGAAGAAGCCTATTTGACCCAATTAGACCGTCTTTAATTAATTGTATTCAGTGATAATATAGCCTCAAATAATGCCATTTATTTTAGAAATAATTCTCACCAATCCATCAATTAGGTGGTATTTATCAATACTTATGAAGGGTTTTGAGACTTCATACTTATTCATTCCATCCTCATGTAGCTTTGGAATTTGGAGGTATATCGATAAACTTCTAGCTTAAAGATGAAAGGGGGATTTCATGAAAAATAAGGATGCAGGAGAGTAAAAAAGAAAAGGTAGCAATTAAGAGAAAATGAGGGTGGCCTAGAAGAAAGTAGAAACGTTCTCAATGAATCTGATTTCAGTGGAAGAAATCAAGGAAATAAATGAACTAAAACCGACTTCACATGTTACTCTATCCCTCTTCTATCTTTTTTGACATCAAATGCTAACTTCCAGCTTCATATTAACTTTCATTTTAAATGCTGATTTCTATTTTTAGCTCACTAGCTAGAGCTTATCATTGTCTATTTAAGGACACAAGCTTCGTTGTTGCATCAAACCAAAATATCAAAGAACTAGCTAGAGGAGGTCAGCGATGGAGTTCAACAATCAATCCCTGCAATTCAATGCTGCTCCTACTGCTTCTCCCTTCATGCCGCTGCAGCACAACTTCATGCAAATGCAAGTGCCTCCCCGCTTATTGCCTCGTAACCCGCAAGACCCACATCAGGTGACAGAGCAGACCTTTCAAACATTACTCTCTCTCTCTCTCTCTCTCTTCTTATTACATTTTGACATTCTATTTCATATTCTCTCTACATTATAATAAAAGTAGTCTGAAATCAGAATTAATAGAGGTTTATTCTGATTTTAACTGTTTGATTGAGTAGAATTGGATCGCAATTCCGATCCTATTTCCATTCTTGGCATTTCCCATCTGAGCGAATGGTCATTCTCTCCCCACCCCCTTTCCTTGAGAATACATTCCAATCAATTCTAATCTCAATCAAACATACAGGAAGAATAGACCATTGGGATTCCAAAACTTCAAATCAAAGGGACCCAATTTCATTTGTACTTCTCTTATTCCATTTTAACACATTCTATCATACCCTCTCTCTCTCTCTCTCGTTCTGTGTTTGTGTATCAAGTAGTAATGTAAATGAGTTTTATATATTCTCCCAGATGGAAGGAGAGGGTATAGAATTTACTCTCGAAGAACTACGAAGGCAGAATTTGCGCTTGTTTTGGCAACAACAACTTTTTGAAATCAATCAGATTACAGGTCATTTTTTAAGATTTTGCGTTTTTTATTTATTTCTTTTTTGTTAATATATACTAAGGTTGGGATTTTGTTTTGTAGAGATTAAGCAACACCAGCTGCCACTAGCAAGGATCAAGAGGGTTATGAAAGCCGATGAGGATGTGAAGGTTTGCTGCCTATACGTGCTGAAATAATGAATATTAGTAACCAGAGATTTTTCATACTTGCTAGCTATTTAACTTAATTAGTCTGCATCTCTTAAGCTTTAGAAAGCTCAAATAAATTGAGTCCTCTGAGGCAAAGACCCAAATTAGAACTTTCTTAGAAGGCCAAAATATCCTCATGTGGGGGAACTTTCCTATAGGCCACATACCTAGCTAGAGGATTTTAAGTCCAATGAGCATGCTTTTTATTTTAAAATTTTCAACACTGAAGACTAGTTTTGAGGGGTGTCATCTGTTCTTTTTGATGATTGCCAGGTGTTTTGTCCCAACTAGTTTGATCAACAAAGAGTAAATAGGTATGATGGAAAATAAAATAAAATTTAGGGCAAAAGAATTAAACCTCTCCCTTGATATTTCTTGTAAATACTAAAACCTTCCCTCTTTTTTCAAGTTGGACTAAATCCTCTCCTCCCAAGATTATATCTAATGGAATCATCAAAAAGTCTCTTTTGCCCTTGCTAAATCTTCAACACAAAAGTTGGGTCCCTCTCAGACGCTCTTGATAACTCCAACAGCCACCGTTTGACACATGTCTCTCACAGCAAAATGACCGGGTGGAGGGTATTCATAGAAGGTCTCCACCACTATGGGCTTTGTTTAATAAAGGGAAAATTTCAGATTAGTACTCTGTATTTTGGGTCTAATGCCACTTTGGTCCCCAAACTTTAAAACATAACAATTTAGTACTCAAACTTTCAAAACGTGCCAATCTAGTACCTGCCATTAATCAGCCATTTGAAAAGACACAAATACCCTTCAAGTGTCATCTAATTCTCTTTATCAATCATACAAATGTTGACAAAAAATGAACAGTCCAAAATCCTTACCTCTTCTGTTCAAGAAAGTTGGGGGTTACATCTTAATGGCCATTCTGGTGACCCCAATTTTCTTGAACAGAAAAAACAAGGATTTGGGACTGTTCATTTTTTGTCAACGTTTGGATGGTTGATAAAGAGAATTAGATGACACTCGAAGGGTATTTATGTCTTTTCAAATGACACTTAATGGCTGATTAATGAACTAATTAATTACTAGATTGACACGTTTTGAAAGTTTGAATACTAAATTGTCACATTTTAAAGTTCAAAGACCAAAATAGCACTAAACCCAAAGTATAGGATATTAATCTGAAATTTTCCCTTTTGGCTCCTTACCAGACCGCCTGTCGATCTTGATAAACAGTTATTAGCAAACTTGACCAGTAATACATTTAACCAGCAAGATAATAAAGAGATGCATTGTCCATTATTCATTACAAGCTATTGACTGGGTTTCATTTCCGTCGATCGTCACACATGGCCAAAGGATGTAAAGGGGTAAAGTTGGGACTAAAAAAAATTAATGTCATATTCCTACGAATTTTTATCAGATTGTTAAATGACATGAGCCAAGAAGGTCTAATTAAAAAATTGAGGGGAGATTTAAGTATTTACATGAAAAATGAAGAGAGGTTTTAGGTCTTTTATATACATAAAGAATGGAGATACGTTGTGATTATATACACATATATACATATACGCAATGGAATAATGGGATTCTGAGCTGTTTCTTATTATTAATTGAATTTCTACCACCAGATGATAAGTGCAGACACTCCAGTCCTGTTTGCAAAAGCTTGTGAGCTTTTTATTCTGGAACTTACACTACGATCATGGTTCCGGGCTGAAGATGGTAAGCGGCGAGTCCTGCAGAGGTCTGACATTGCACATGCTGTTACTCATTCTGAGGTTCTTGATTTCTTGCTCGATATTGTCCCAACAGAAGAAGCTGAAGCTAAGGTGCTTTTGACTTTATACATTCTCTGTGGGTATTTTATTATTATTATTATTATTATTAAGATAAATTTTTTAAACTATCCTTATCGTTTAGTTAATTGAATAAGTATAAGCCTACTGTTTGGTTATTTTCTAATGCTATCCTTATTATTTCAAAAAATTACCATCACGTTAAAACATTGAAAGAAGGGCTAAAATGCCCGTTTTACCTTTCTTCCTCTTCTTTTTCCTTACTTTTTCTTTCTCCTCCATTCTGCCACTGCCGCTGCAAATCAAGCCAGCGGCAGTACCAACTTCTTTTCTTCCTCTTCTTCTTTTTCTTTTTTTTTTTCTTTCTCCCCTGCTCTGCCACCGCCGCTGCAACTCGAATCAGCAGCGGTAGCAATTTCCTCACTAGGGCATACTTGTCTCGAAGAGTACCAACAGGTCTGAGTACCTACATCAAAATGGCGGATGACGACCGGATCTCAGATCTCATATTTTCATATTTGGGTTCCTTCCAGATCTGAGAGATACTCAGATTTGGATTCTTTCTGGGATCTGGGTTTCTTCTAGGATCTAGGCTTGCCGAGGGAGTAGAGGAGATGTGTGAGTTGCCAAGAGTAGGGTTATGGTGCACAGTGGAGGCGCCAGATTTTCCCCATGCCATAACCAACGGAGAACGGAGAAACAACTCCCTCCACAGAGAAATGGTGGGCGGTTTACTTGTGGGTTCAGATGCAACCGCATGGTCGCCGGCATCAGCCGAGTCACCGAGATCAACCTCGACTGACCTGGGTACACTAGTTCCCTCTCTTCCTCCACCTGGAACCTACCTTACTGGAAATCCCTGTGCGTTTCGTTGTTGCAGATCGTTCTTCTTCTTGATGGTGTCAAGAGGCATTGTGATCAACATTGAGACACGGCTTTCCATGGATGCGCTCACCCTTGAACTGCCACCACTGTCTTCATATCTGATCGGGAGATGCCACCGTTGCTGCTCTTCCACACCATGCCATATACCGACATGCCAGTGAAGTATGTGCAGATGGCGATGAGACAAGTGGCGGTGACTGCAATGGGCTAAGGTCATTTCAGCGTGGTGAGACAAGCAACGCCAAAGGGGAGAGAGAACGAAGGGGCTGGAGGTGGAAGGGGCAATCGCCTCCGCTGGTTAAAGACCAACTCGGTTTTGCCGCTGCTGAAAGGAAGAAGACGAAAGGGTGAAATTGAATTTAAAAAAAAAATATATATATCCATTACATGTGAACGAATTTTGACAAAATATAGGTTAATGATAAAGGGTAGAGTTAGTCAATTGTCATAAACAGTAGAAATATTGTTAGACAATAATCAAAGGCATGATATAACATATGGGTGGAGAGAACTCGGCAAGGTTGATAATAACATATGCAAATCCATACATATATTACTGATCTATAAATTTTCTAGGAAGACAAGAGTGAGAAGGCTGAGAAGACTGAGAAGACTGAGGGTGGAATTCAAATTCTTCCATACAACAATGAAGTGAATTTTCCGATGATGGACGTGAATCAGTTCCACCAGAATTTCATTGGGGTTAGTTAAAGAAGAACTTATATGGTTCTTTGTAATTTGATGCCATCAACAGCTTATATACACAAATTTTGTTTCAAACTTTTGTGTTTGTATGTATTTTAGGACTTGATGGCCGCAGAGCAAATTCCTCAAAACTTTGTGTTTCAGCAACCATCACCCTCTACCCAATTCATCTATGAACCTTCTCCCCAGGTGGGATCAAAACTTTCAATTAATAATGTATCTTGTGTTGTTATTAGTCTGCACTGATCTTTAGACCCTATTTCCAACTATTGCATTCTTAGGCTTTTCTTATTTGAAGGGAGCTAAGCCAAATGAAATGTCTAGTTTTTGACAGATGATGTTCACTTTAATTTGCAGTGAGGAGAGATCAGGATTGATGAGAAGCTAAGCGAGGTGAACAAGTGCACTTCTGTGATGATCCTCAAGATCATATCCAAAGAATAAAAACTGCAAGTTCTTGTTCGTAAGAAATGATCCTCTTACTGGACGAAATAAAGAGACCAAAGTTCTTCATGAATAGACTCATCGCCTTTCTCATTTCAGATGATCCATCTACCTATATAATATATATATTTAAACAAGCTGGGTCATTGGCCCATCCAATTCTCAAGTCTGGAACAGGCCTTTTTATCGGAAGGTTTTGAGCCTTTAGGCCCAAGGCAAAGGAATGAGAATGGGAACTAGTTATATTTGTATTGTACATCAGGGATGAGAAGTAACAAATCTAAAGAAACAAAATCATGTGGTTGCGACTAAAATCGTCAGTTGGATTTAATCAAATGAAATTAAAATGGGTGTGTGTATTATTCATGACGCAGGATTTGTCAAGTCTAACCATTAAACCAATTCCATCCCGGAGTTATTAACTGCTCATTATTTTTGTTTTCTAATTCGAAGAAGATCGAATATGACAAAATCTTCTTCAACGTTAATTCAATTACCCGAATCTCTTTTCTATCTCTTTTATACGTGTGTCCAAACTCTGGAGACCGGATCTAGTAGGCACAATATAACAAAAGTGTCAAAAGTGGTTTTTTATATTTTTTCAAGACTAAGCTGGGGGTATATTATTAAGGGACATGTGTCAAAAAAAATTCTAACTGTGCCTACTTGATCCGAACTACCAACTGATGGATGTATTTAAGCCATATTTGGTTTCCATGAATGAAAATGGAATTGAATTTTGTCCTACCTTAATTTCTTATAATTCAAATGACTAGAAGAACCCTAGAACCCTATGGATTTAAAATCTACAAGAAAAAATGGAATTTAAGGTTTAAAATATTTCATCAGGTTGAGTTCAATCAACCGATCCAAGTCGCAACCCTATTAAGATTTACAATGAGTACATGTTAGTTTGCAGATAGCAAGGCAGCAAAGAGATGGGTTTTGATTGAATTAGTGTGGGTTCAGATCTGACTCAGTTACTTAAATACCAAATACATCTTTTTTGCTTTCTTATTCGAATGGACCAATCAATCAGAGAAATGGAGATTCAAATATGATAATAGGCTTTCCTGATTCTATGGGAAATGGATGGGAATAAACAAAAGTATTGCCATCGAAGGATAAAAACATACAAGGATGAAAAATACAATTTATTCAATCCTCACCCAAAGAAAAACAACAAACAATAAAAATAGATCTCTAAAAGATGTGGCATCCTGATCACCAATATTCAGCCATTACTAAATAATAGCAACAACAACAATAGACCCTGTATTCAAAGCAATCATTTATTTGAAATCAACCTAAAATTTGATTTTGATCCATTCAATCAATGGTAGAAGCAAGTACTTCTTCATGAAAAAAAAAATATGAAGGGGCAAAAAAGATTACCCGAGAGAACTTGACTAACAATTCTTAGAAATATTACAAGTCCATATCTTAGAACTTAAAGGTTCAAACTCTTGGAAAATATGATTTGAACTTGAGATTTAAGAAGATGCTCAGCCACTCTCCTTTTAACTGCTAAACAATGTTAGGGTTTCACCTGATGATGATGGTAGGTATAAGTTCTTTAGGCTACACATTTTCTACCAAAACATATATTTAGGCTATAGATTTAATCTAATTACCATTTTATGTTCCGTATTCTTTACGTAAAAATGACATGAAAGAAGCACATGTCGTGCCACGTGTATTAAGGCTAGAAGACGGAAACATGACTAGCGAACTTTATTAATATTCTCCTTTCATTCACCATGAAAACCCTCTTAGGTCTTTACTTTCTCTAATAGAATCCATCATTACCCTCTCTCATAAGGCCCTTTTCAAAAACTCTTTCTCTTCTCTCATTAAATCCATTATTTCCTCTTAAATCTCTCTTCACCCATTTTGACTCTCTTAATAGAACAGAGGTATAAATTACATAAGTTGATTTTAGATATGTTGGTTTGGTTTAAGGCTTAACCCAAGAATATGGAGCCTAGTTAGACTCAAGTTGAAATCAATTCAAACCTAAAATTTGCCAACCTACACCTAACTAAATTTTCCCTCTCACCTCAATGCTTATATGGACCCTATCCTCTTCTCATTTATTGCATATCATTATTTCTTTATAAATTAAATTATTAAAAAAATAAGAAGCCACAATAAAATCCCCCTTTCTCTCTCCAATAGTCTTTTCTTAAGGCGCTCTCTCTCTCTCTGATCGTCAATGTTTGTAACGTCTCCCCTCCCCATTAAACCCCTTATTTCTTCTTAAATATCTTTGAACCTCTTTTGACCATCTCTAATCAAGATGGCATATAAATTAGATGGGTTGGATCTAGACCAGCCCTAAACACGAACCTTAGTCTGGAACCAAACTGATGTCAAACCCTAAATTTACTAACAAAAACTTAACAAGTCTTCCATTTATGAATTTGATTATTGATGTAGCGCGATCCGGTCATTCCTACTTGGCACTCACGTGGCTCCTGGAAGGTACCTAAGGTGAATAAGAAGAAGAATCCCCGGAGAGTTTACCCGGTGAGGATACTCTGATGCTTAAGTTAATACTCTGTAGGAGAAGCAAAAAGGAGAAGAAGGCTAAGAGTGCAGATAGTGCGCTCTCACTATACTCAAGAGATTAGAGGTCTCAAGAAGAAGTCTCTCTTCTGCCCTGAGGGCTTTTATAGGGACATTCACGTCGGGTCGGGCATAACCGCCACTGGGCTCCTGCCACAGCCGTTACCTGCCAGGGCTGCGCAGGTGGCCGTTGTGGCGTATGTCTTGCCTGGGTGAATGACACGTCTCCGAAGTAGAAGGCACACCTTTTGCCTGCTGAGAGACGTGGATGCAGACTGTCGAAAGGACTGGAACTGTGCCGTCAGTAAGGGATATGGCGCAGTCTGATCGGTACGGTCAGTCAGTCAAAAGCTTCCTGAGGAGCGCTCTTGCGGTTCATTCGCGAACTATCTTGTAGCGAGCTGGGAACACTCCAGGACTACCCTTAGTAGGATTGGTCCTCAGGAACGACTTGTCTGTTTGGGAGCTCGGACGAGCTAATAACTTTAGCTCGCGAGCTAAAGTTGCTTCGGAGTATCTCTTTGAAGGTAGCTCGGGGAACCCGGAGCTCGCGTTGTGGCGAGCTTCTCTTTTTTGTGAGCTACAACGTAGTGAGCTACTTCATGGGCCCGTCACTTGGTCGCACCAGGCTACAACGCTGAGCTGTCGCTCGTGCTGAGTCAGTGTCCATGTGTCATTGTTTCATAGGTTGGGCCAAATCGTCCTCCATCAATTATGATACAAAAAAAAGATTGATCAAAGTTCCTGGTATCATAGAAATTTCCATATTTTATACATGTATTATATGCCTTACAATATAAAATATTATAAGCCCGGAAGCCCAACCCTTGATCACACCTACCTTTCATCAATTCAAAGTGCTAATTATATAAAGGGGCAACATAAGGAATACTTAAAAAAACGGTTCAATCTTATATATATGACTACTAGCAGTTACCCCGTGCGATGCACGAGCTACTATTACAAAAGCACTTTAAAGGAAAAATGAATAAATAATAATTCACTAAAATAGTTTACTTTTCTTTCTTAATTATTGAGCTTCAAAGCTCATATATATATATATATATATATTATATAGTTTTGGATTTCATGTATCTCATATATAGTTTATGAAAAATCTACACAGTCCATCATAAATGTCTAAGTTTTACAATTTATATGACAAACAAATTGGAAGAAAGGCTTTAGCAATGGAAATTGTTTTTGAATTGGTCACAGGTATATGTCTTGTTGTGTGTGTTGAATTTTTCAACAATATATTTCCAACCATCATTGTTGAATGTTGAGGTTGGTCTATTGTGAGCCTTCACTTGATCTTCCATCAATTCAATAAATGTCCGTTCTTCAGCCTCACTCCATGTGGTTGACTCATTGGTTCTATCTTCATGCACTAATTCAAACTAATAAGCCATATATGTTTGTAGATTAGGAGAGGAATGGATTATGTGAAACAATCAAAATCTAACAACTTGAATCAATCTCAAAGTACCCCAACTATCTAATGTTTATAGTGGTTCCTATTTTTTCCCTTATAACAGTTCCTAATAACTAGATCACATGATATAAAAAATCAGATAATATTCAACTTTAACTAATGATCCTAGCTAGGAGTTTGTAAGACAAGCATCCTGCAAAATAGCACACAAGCATCCTAGCTAGGAGGTTCCAAAAAATAAGTGCAACCTTGACTTTTCAAGGTTGTGAACACAAACAAGTGATCTGAATCAACCATACAACATGAATAATCTATATAGTAAAAAATGCATTTAAATATCCAATTTTAGGATTGCTTTCTTGTTAGAAATTGATTACTCCAATTTCTAGACTCAATCTCAAAGTACTCAAGATGTAGATACAAATTGTAATGTTTGATAAAATGGACACATTGATAGTGGGAAAACCTATGGTAGTTAATGCAATGCTCTTTTCAAATGTGCCTATCTATGAATTCTGGTATGGTTGTTGTTGTTGATGTTGAGGTGAGGAATGATATTTAACATCTAGTTTTGTTGGAGTTGCTTGCTCTATGTTCTAGATTAAAAAGTTACATATTTGATTTTCACAAAGATTTCTAAAAGTTCCATTGACAGGTAAATAGTGAGCAATCTATAGCAAAGGTTGTGATTGAATATGCTAATAAGTTGCGTTATAAGTATGGCTCTACTATGGAACTTGTAATGGGGCCCAAAGACTTTGAGGTGCATCCAGGGGCTAGGGTTAGTGGAAATGTTGGGAGAAAACGGGTGTTGGTTGGGAATAAGAGGTTAGCAAAGTGTTTATTGAAAATGATCCACTAGGAAAGACCGATAAGATCAAAGAATTACAGGTAGATACATCCAAACAATTAATGGGCCAGTAATACTCCATATTAACTATAAACCTTCCCCATATGAACTATAGAAATCTAATGCAAAAACAATCCTATATTTATGTATAAGCTTTCATGTTCAAAGTCTTTCATTTATGAATTCCTCTGAACTCAAAGCTCCCTCAATCTTATTTGCCCTACAAATGTTAGAATCAACGGAGAGTATTGTGTTCAATCAAATAATCACATAATTGTTGATGTTGTAGATTTTCTATCAAATAATCATATATGCCCCCACAAATGTTGATATTGATTCTCTAGATCATAGGAATAAATGGTAGTTTAAAGGCTTTGTTCAATTGATATTGTGTAGGGACATGCTCACAACCTTATATGCTAGGACTTAATTAAGCACAGATTGAGTGTAAAGTTCCAGTAATAATCAAACCAAAATTTTATTCAGAGGACTTGTTGGTTTATTGCTAATATCTTTAACTCCATTTTGCCATTATGTCAAAGGAGCAGCATAGCACTGGGTCAAAAGAATAGGGGAATGTCATGACACAAATGGATAATGAATTTGTGTTTACAAAGATATAAGTGATCGAGAAAATGGATGGAAAGGCACAATCAATAGATTTAACTGAAAATCTAGATGAACAAGAAATATGAACAAGTCATTAAACAATAGAGAGTATATATTGATCAAGCATTTGCAATTTTTCTTCAAATGAAAAAAAATGGAGAAGATATTGCTTTCGAGTGATAGCATCCACAAATAGCATAAACAAAAGGAGAAGAAGGTAAAAATGAATGAAGAAAAGGATCTATTATATAGCATCCAAAAATAGGTATGACGAGTTTGTTCGTTTCAACATTCAAATGAAAAAACAAAAAAGAAGAAAACATAAGTGAGACGAAGAATGCTTAATTTGGAATGATGAAGATAAAAACATGAGAGAGATGAAGGAGAAAGAGGGAGACGACATACCGGTTGATGGATCAAATCGGCGGATAATCGTCTTCTTCCTTGTGGCGGATCACAACAGCAAAGAGCTTCAACGAAGAACATAGCGGCACAGGCAGCGAAGAATAACAATGGTAAAATGTTGTAAGAAAAGAAAAGAAGTGTGTGATGCATAATTGCATATTAACCAGGACCGAATTCAACCACGATAAAAATGTATTGACAAATTATTGAGCCGTGGATAGGGTTGATTTACGATATATTGTGAACTGGTCCCGTCCACACCAAACCGCCGAATTTTGAATTCAGCCTGTGGCATGAATCAAAATGGTCTATACACGAGATGAATACAATACCGAACACCACCTACGTTAAATACGTCAATGATTCAATCATCCAAATTAGTGTTTTTGGACCGTCATTGACCTGGACGGTCGGACCGTTCGGCCCAGGAACCATCCAGGCAACCGGTTCCGTTTTATCCCAAACCCAAAATCTAGTAAAAAACCGTTCAAAAAGTTAACAAACGATTGACCCAAGCGGTCGAACCATCGATCTGTTGACCCATTCAACGGTTTTGACCATTTTTTAAATTTTTTAAAATTTTACTATCAAAACGGGCCATCCATTCGAACTGGATGATCAAACCGTTGACCCAAAAACCGGTGGCCAAAACCGTTCCATTTCCGGGTCGTTTTTTAAAACGTTGGTTCGAATAATGAGGGGTTGAAAACAGCTTCTTAATTTTTTTAGGTCCGAAAACAATGAAAACAGAATACTCGTGAAATGTACGGGTGGTGCCAAACACCCACAGAGTCCGTGGCGCTGGACTAGTGGAGTTTCCTTAGCATTCAACGGTAATGTTGATGACCCCTTGTTAACTAATTTGGAGATAAGAAAAGAACCGGGAATCCGCATTCCACGTGTAAGTGGATGGTAGCATTTGATGCATATCATAGGTTATGATGGAGTTGGGAGGTATCATCACGTCCACGCGTGCAGTGCAAGTGCAACGCGGCTTTTATGGAAACCCTAGCAGCGAGGGAAGGGGGTCATTAGTTCCTCACTTCGTCTATTTATACTCTCTTTGGTGCCTCACATTCACAGAGCACGGAGTACTGGAGCAGGCCGCCAATTGGAGATGATGTAGCTGCCACCGATCGAGCCCAATGGAGGAGTAGGGAAAGGCAGACAGAGCCGCCGGAACTTATTGGACTGGGTGCCTTGGGAAGTTCTATTACAACTGAGAGTTTAGAGACAGATCTCTCTCTCTCTCTCTCGTATAAGTGCTGAACCTTCCCAAGGCCTCCCATGCCGATGATTTCCTGTGGTTCCTCCCTTTCCTTTTCTCTCTACTATAAAAAGCTTCTTTCACTTGATATGCGGTGTTTCTTCTTTTCACCTGGCATCGAATTGTAATATTTCTACTTCACTTTCTTTTATCTTTCGTTCTCATAGTATATCTTAATTAAACTCTTCCTTAATATTTCGCAGAAGAGAATCTGGTAACTATTGGCCATTAGGGGGGTGTCATCGTTTGCCAGTTAGAGGAAAATGAAACAGGGGATTAATATTAATTATAATCTTTTACTGTGCTCACTTTCTCACAACCTTAACCTTTCCCTTGCGTTCTGTGTAGATCGGGTGCCGTGGTTAGACGTCTATAGTTCGGTTTTGGTTTAGTGGCCTGGACAGGGTGATGGAAATCAGGGAATGTGATGTGGATTCGATTCACTAACATCATTTGGATGTATTTTTTGGTATTTATTTAGATGATTTTTGGGAATAGCTCATTTGGCTGCAGAAAAAATTGTCTCTTTACTGCTCGGTGGATTGTGGCCAGTCAAGGGCTTAATTATTTAGGGTTTAAGGTTTATGAATCTACGATTTTGGATTTGGTAATGCTTCACTACATGGTTTTTGTTTATTTATCCGACAATATCAACTTCTTTTTACGATTCCTCTGTATTATCCACCGGAGTCGCTTTTATCATGGTCGAGTAAAGTTTATCTAATGTCGACACTTGGTTATCTCACTATTCATCTGGTCCGGTTAGTTCATTAAGTAGTCATTCTCTCGGTTTTTGATAAAGAACTGTTTGTTGTAGTAGCTGATATTCTATAATGCTATCTTAAAATTTATGTTTTCGCTTTAGTCAAATCGGTTTAAAGACTGCTATTTTTATCTGATCGGAACACCTGTCTAAATAGCAACGAGTGGCCGGTAGATTATATGAAGATGAAATCTGTTCCTCCAAACATCAAATCGGTTTAAAGACTGCTATATTTATCTGAACGGAACACTTGTCTAAATAGCAATGAGTGTTGGACTGTTTGCTGTTGACATATCTAGTTTCTAACTGCTTATGGGTTGGATCTTGGTTAACTATTAAATGCTGAATGTTTCAAAGCCTCTTCGTAGGGCAACTCATTGAATGGTTCAAGATTTCTTCGTAGGGGCTGACTCTTTTGGAATATGGTTCAATCGTCTGCTGCTATTATCTGGGAAGCTTGGAAACTTTGAACACGCTCAATCTGATTCCGTTGGAGCCATTCTAGCAGCCTGTGTTAGGGTCTCTAGGGTCAGCACAATAGCTCACTATCTAGGAAGAGAGACAATGGTGGTGACAGTGATGGGTCCTGAATTGATTAAATCTACTGGTGTCCTGGTGTGTATCAAAATCAGTTGTTGGAATTGCCGTAAGAGATGCTAATAGGTGATTTTGTGGCCGTTAAACCTTGTTTTCCTTGTAGAAATTCTGATATTGTAATGTTCTTAATCGAAAAAAGGTTAATCCTGTTTTGGGTAGAGGGTGGAAGCTATCCCGGTGATAAAAGAAAGTGTAGTTATGATCAATACCAGTTGAACGATTTATGCTGTTAAAATACAAGAAAATGAACGGTGGCCTTGAAGCGATTGTTGCTGATTTTAGAATTCAACAAATTCTTTTGCTCCTTTCTGTTTTCATTACTGCTTCTGCACTTGTAATAAGTGGCCCGTGTTTGTTTTTGGTATAAGCTGCCTTGGGCTCTTGTGGCTGGCTGACCCACCTGAATGTATCAGTTTTACAGTTTATTTGAAATCTTTATAATACCTTGTTGAATGGAAGCATGTTGAGAAATGATACATCTCCCGCATGTTAAATAATTAGAAAAATTTTCGGTAGTTATCTTGTACTTTAGGATTTGGTACCCGAATTTTAAAACGTGACAATCTAATATTCAAATCTTCATTTTGCAACAATTCAGTACCAGCCACAAGGTTTCGAGCAATGCATGAATTAATTTTCAAAATAACGAATATGACCCCAGGCGACTGGATTGAAGTCACAGTTGTTGCCTGTTGGGCTTCAAAATCCTGCAACATGCTGAAGTAATCAACTGAAATATCTCTTGCGTTGAGGGACGACCTCAGGCGACTGGATTGAATATTGCTTCCAGGAAGATACAAGGTTGGGACGTTGGACTGCGTCCAAGCCAAAGATGATGGTTAATACCATTTGCAGATGGGGACATGGGTGGCGTAAAGGGCGAAGGAGACATAACAGAGACCGAAGAGGGAGAATCAGGCAAGAGGCTCATGGCTGCAGCCATCTCCATGGCGGAGGCCGCTGAAGTAGTTGAACGGGGAGAAGGAATGGCCAGAGCCGGTGGAGACATACAGGGGGAGCCAGTTCCTCAGATGTGTGAGCAAAGAAACAAACTCATTGCATCAACCTGTGCCATCCTTACACAGCCTTGTCCTGTACTGCGCCGGGTGAAGCCAACACTCAAAAATGCCATGCGTGTATTCACACAAATCCCCTCGTGGACATGTCTCTTCGGAAATCAGGGCAGGGAACGCAGCTGTAGTGGTACTTCCTTGGGTCTCTCTTGCGAGCCTTCTCATCTGGGTGAACGAATGGACACTCGGTCCGGTCATGAGAGTAATATCGGGAACGAGGGCGGACCTTAAAGGAGAACATGCGGAACTCATTTGTCGCATAGATGCTGTTTTTGATATCAGGCAGAGATGGGTCAATAGGGTACTCCTTTTTCTCCATTGCTGAAGAAACAGGGTGATCATTGAACTTGATCATGGGAGATGAAGTCGAGTCTGAGGCAAACGACGGAGATCCATTCTCCGGGGATGATGACAAAGCGGGTGAATTTGAATTTGATGTGGTTGTGGAAACCCGCAGATTGTGCTCTCCAAAAGAAAAACCATCAGAACCATTGCTCGCAAGGAGCTCCTCAAGCGCAGCCTTCACATTAGGGAGCTTAGGAGATACAACAATAACATCAGCAGGCCGGTGGCCATTGGCATCCACTGAATTCCGGGCCACAGGGACGATTTATATCAGCCACGGATAGAGCAAGGATTAGCTTCAAGACGTCAATACTACCATAAGTTGCAGCAACCATCAAAGGAGTTCTATGCTCAAGGACCATCTGCTTCGAGCCCTTCTGGCGGACGTACCAAAGACCAATCTCATTGATAGTAGAGGCATCACGCTCCAACGAACGCTTGAAGCCTTCAACATCATTGTTAGCTGCGAGCTCAAGTAAATTCTAGAAAAAATCTGGTTTCTACAGTCGGGTGATTCATGCTTTTCATGGGGTTTTTCTTTCTTCGGAGGATGAAGGAGAAGACGGCAATGACGAGGTGGACTTTAACCGCTCCGGCCCACCACACATACTTCAATTGCTTGGAAATCCCCCGATTTCCAGATTTTGAAGACAGACAAGCTAAGCCACGATTAAGCACTCCATTAACTTTACAGATCTCTCTTTTGTTCCAATAAAAACCGGGCTCACATTGTCACTATCATTTGAATGTGATCGACTCACTGCAGGAACAGAACTCCCACTACTATGGATAATACCATTGGGAGACCGGCCTCGTGAACGAGAACATGATTGTCGTCTAGGTCTTCTATTAGAACTAGGCCCAACAGAAGATGATTGAGAGCTCGGAGCTCCAGGCCTACCTCTAGAGGCTGAAACTGGCCTCTTCTGGCATTGATAAATTTGGAGGAGCATCCAGTGAGAAACCAGGCATCTCTGATGGCTTCTAAGGTCTGGATTTAACAGTTGGTGAAGTGCCACGTAATGGCACTGGATTTCTTGCTCTGCTGTTGGAACTGGCTTGGTGGTTGAAGAAGACTGCGCAGGAGGAGCAGAGACAGTAGATACACTGGATGGTGTTGATGGTCGACGTGTTGGTGCTTCTGACCTAGATTTGGATGCTGGAATTGAGGAGCTGAGACAGTAGATAATACACTCGAATGCGACGCCAGAGTTGAGTGAAGCATGCTCGGAATGAAGAGCGAGAGTTAACACTGGGTAAAACGGTCTGAGTTGAGTGAAGGGAAATAGCAAGGGAAAAGAGTAAAAAGGTTCGAATTTTTTCATAAAGGTTAGTTTTGGTATTAAGAAAATGTTTAAACCGCACCTGATATCACGTGATGGTCTGACTAACGGTGAATTAACGTCGGGTACTGAATTGTTGCAAGATGAAAATTCGGGTACTAGATTGTCGTATTTTAAATTTTGGATACTAAATTGACACTCGGCCTAAAGTACAGGTTACATATCGGGAAGTTTCCCTATTTTTAATAATTGTTTAGTGTAAAAATAACAATAATTATCAATACGACCCAACTTGATTCTAGTTGGTTTTCTAATATTAATATTTCTATGGGGTTTTAATTCACCAATTTTTCTATCTAACTAGGTTGGGCCCTTTTTGGTTTAGCCATATCTAATTTTTAATATGGAATAATGTGAAAATTCTCATTCTTTAATCTAAAATATTTTATATTGTAAATTTAAAATTTTTAATTTATTTTTTAATAATATTACTATGATTTTTAAATGTAATTGTAAGCTTATATTTTGAATCAACCAACCAAACTGAAAATTGATCCAAGTCCAACCAAACAAACTGAAAATTGATTCAAATCAATATAATTTGAGTTTTCATTAATGATTTGTTGGTTTTGGATGATCTTGTCAATATCTAATTTTAATTAAATTAATAGTTTAATCTTTAATAAATAACAATAGTTTAATCTTTAATAATTATTCAAAAATTTTTATTAAATAACAAAATAAAAATAAATTTATATGTTTGAAAATATAATAAATAATTAATAAAAATAAAAAAATATAATTTTTATTATATAAATATATAGTAAATATAGATTAAGATTTTGAAATTATTATTAATAAATATCAACTTTTTTTAACGTTATTTTATAGAATTATAAATTGATATAAGTGAAATAATGCTATTATATTTTTCATTATGTTAATAATATTTAAAAGTTTAAATTATTTATATTTTATATTATTTATCAAATATTATTAAATCTATTATAATTATTTTTGTGTTTTTGATAGCTATAAAAAATATTTATGTAATTTAAGAATTACCATAGTTATTTCAATATATTTATTTATTGAGTTTCATAATCCAAAAAATTATAAGTTATAGTATTATAATATTGTTATTAATTTTGTAAAATATAAAATTATTATTAATTCAAATTTTATGAAATCTTTTATAACAATTAAAATATTTAAAATTTTTCATTGTTTAGATTTTATTTATTTTAAAGTTACTACATAAGAATAAATATTTTGTTATATAATATTTAGCTATTTTTAATATTTTGTTTTTTATAATATTTAGTAATTGAATTTTTTAAATAATATTTTTAATTTTTAATTTTTATTATTTGAATAATATTTTCATTGAATAATTCATAAAATTATAATTTGTATTATTAGTACATAATTTTTTTATAAATTTCATAAAAGTATAAAATTATTAAGCATATGAATATTATTAAATCTATGGTAATTTTTTGTGTTTTTAATAAATATTTTAAAGTTATTACATAATTTCATTATAATATAATATTTAAATAATTCTTAATTTTTTTTAATTCAAATTTTCTTTTGATAGATATAGATGAAAAGTGGGAGATAGGATAAATAGGAATTAGAGATGATTTAGGAGATAATCGGAATTATATATAATTTAGGAAATAAATTAGAAATTATAGATAATTTGGGAGAAAGTGAGGGATAGTGGTGCCACTTAGCCACCTTAAATTAGATTTTGGTAGAGAGAGAGAGTTGAAGAATAGTTTTAGGAAGGGATATCTAATGGGATAAATATAGAGGAAAGAGGGATAAGTCAAATATACTGAGATTTCAAAATGAAAGAGGGAGAAGGGAATGATGAAGTGGCTTAATGAAAGAGCAAGAAAGGCCAAAATGAAGAGGGGCTGAATTCTCTGTTTGGGTGAGGGAGAAAGCTTGGGCCACTTGACATGGCATGTTTCTACTTTAATATATGTAGATATCTTAAAGGGTAATATTTCCATTTTGAAATTAGATCCATCTTTATTCCCTCGTTGAATAAGGAAGATGAACTTATTTGGAGATTGGAACCAAAAGGTAATTTTTTCATCAAATCGGCTTACATAGACAAAATTATGGAAAATAAAAATATCAGTGATTCATTTAATTGGAATAATAAAGTTTGGAATCTTTGCTGCCCCCGTAAACTGAAAATTTTTCTCCTTCTTTTAAGGGGTAGACTCCCCTCTAGGAAATTTTTCAAGAAAAAGGGGTTTAATCTAGAGGATACCTGTGATAGATGTGGTGAGTTAGAGGATATAAATCATATTTTTTACCAGTGTAATTATTCTAAACAGATTTGGATGATGGTCTACCCTAACTTAGACAGTCCAAATGATGAAGATGGAAATTTAAAAGTTTGGTGGGAGAGAATTTCGAAACAAAGACAAGAATATAAATTAGAAAAAACAGATTTTATATTATGGTCCATCTGGAAGAGTAGAAACATAAAAGATTTTTGAAAAGGTGGAGACTCCCCCTTCTCAAGTTGTGGAGAAAGCAAGAATGGTGTTTTGTGAGGATATAAAAGTTCAGCTAAATGAACCCGATAGTAAAGTATCAAAGAAGTGGCATCCGATTATCTGTAGATCCTCAAAATGCAACACAATCAAAATAAACTTTGATGCATCTTGTATGAATGGTTTCAATTGTTCCGTAGGGACCATTGCTAGAAATTATGGTGGGAAAGTTTTAGATATAAAGGCATATTTTTCTGGGTAAAGCCACAATTAATATGGCAGAGGCCTGGGCTGCATGGGAAGCCCATAATATGGCTTTAAATTTCAAAGATTGTCCCATAATATTAGAAGGGGACTCAAAGCTCCTCATTTCCTATCTTCAAGGAGAAACTCAACCGCCATAGAGTATACAAAACACCATTGAAGATTGCATTGCGTTGAAGACCCAGCTCGAGTTTGGGTTAGAATACCGGCATGTCTTTCGTGAGGCGAATCAAGCTGCTGATTGGCTTGCTCATCAGGCTCAATTCAGTCCTTCAGACTCTTTAAATTTTGATTTGCAGGATCTCCCTCCCTCTCTTGGTTTTATATGTAATAGTGATTCTTGGGGATGTGTTACCCTAGGCTTGTGTAGCACCGCTTAGATTTATCAAAAAAAAAAGAAAAATTATTTAATGCACACCTGATGTCATTTTGAAGTTTGGGATTGACACAAACCTCAAAAAGTTCAGGATACTATTTACGAAAATTTCCTCCCTTTTAACAATTATATATATTATTTTAAAATAACATCGGTGTAATGTTATCACTCAACTACACAAATTTCATAAGTGATATCAAGGGTTTTTGCCACATGTTGCCATCAGAAGCATTAGTCAGATGGATCTTCTGGATCGTCACTTGTTCATTTCAACCATCTAAATTATCAATGAGTTTGGATCTGCTGATCACGACACATTGCTGGCCATGCGTATCCTGCTGCACATCGATAATATTGATGATGTAAAGTACAACCAATATTCTCGATGTATGGTAGGATATGCCCTACCTTGTTTTGTGGCAATGCTTGGCCATGAATGGAATGTTGGTGAACGAGTTGGCTAAAATCTTTTAATGGGTCCTAAGCCGGGTTCGGTGAAGTAAGAAAGAGTTTGTTGAAGTGGGAACCGGGAACATAAAAGGCCAAGATATGAAGCGTGGTATGCTCGTAAACGAGTTGGGCAATTGTAATCCATGGGCCCTATTCTGGTTCAGTCAAGTTATTAAGTAAGAAGCGGTTTTCTGAAGTAGGAACATAATTCCAATGAAGTGAAGACTGAAGAGTGGAATGCTAGTAAACAAGTTGGGCAATTCTTTCCATGGGCCTTATGCTGGGTTCATTCAAGTAACAAGCAGTTTTTTGAAGTAGGAACATAAGTCCAAAGAAATGAGAGTGGATTGCTTGTAAACGAGCTGGGCAATTCTTTTCATGGGCCCTATGCTGGGTTCAGTGAAGTAAGCTGCAGTTGTTGAAATGGGAACATAAAGATCAAGATGTGAAGAGTGGAATGCCAGTAAACGAGTTGGACAAAGCATCCCATGGGCCTATGCTGGGTTCAGTGAAGTAAGAAACTGTTGTTTAGGCTATGTTTGGAAACGATACAAATAAGTGTGAATGCAAATATGTAGAGTGTAAAATGGTTCATATAAATTGTAAAATTGGGTTAATTTTGCATTGACAAATTTAACTTCATACCAAACAGACTTTTAGCTGTAGTGGATGCAAATATGAATTCCAATAAAGCATATGTTTTTTTTTTTTTTTTTTTTTTTTATCAAAAGCCCCACTTGAATGCAAATTTACTTATTGATATACCTTTACATCTTATTATCAATGTAANTAAGTGTGAATGCAAATATGTAGAGTGTAAAATGGTTCATATAAATTGTAAAATTGGGTTAATTTTGCATTGACAAATTTAACTTCATACCAAACCGACTTTTAGGTGTAATAGATGCAAACATGAATTCCAATAACACATATTTTTTTTTTTTTTTTTTTATCAAAAGCCCCACTTGAATGCAAATTTACTTCTTTTATATTGATATACCTTTACATCTTATTATCAATGTAAATATGCATTGATCTATCATTTGTCAATGCATAAATGTAACGTTGCCAAACGCAAGCAAAAGTGAACCAGAGTGCAAATTTACCCTGAACTAGGATTTACACTCTATTTCCATCGTTTCCAAACGCAGCCTTAAGTGGAACTTAAAGATCAAGATATGAAGAGTGGAATGCTAGTAAACGAGTGGGAAAATCTTTCCATGAGCCCTATGCTGGGTATACAGACATAAGAAATAGTTGTTGGAGTGGGAACATGAAGGCCAAGAGATGAAGAGTCAAATGCCAATCAAAATTTGAAAAGGTTATGTGTTTGGAAATGATGCAAATGGAGTGTAAATCCCGATGCAGGGTAAATTTGCACTCTGGTTCCCTTTTGCTTGTGTTTGGCAACATTACAATTGTGCATTGACAAATGTCAGAAAACACATTTTCCAATGCATATTTACATTGATAATAAGATGCAAAAGTACATCAATAAAAAAGAAGTAAATTTGCATTCAAATGGGCTTTTGATAAAAAAGGCATATGCTTTTATTGGAATTCATGTTTGCATCCATTACAGCTAAAAGTCTTTGTTAAGAAGGTAAATTTGTAAGTGTAAAACTAACCCAACTTTACAATTTATACGGACCATTTTACACTACATATTTGCATTCACACTTATTTGCATCTTTTCCAAACACAGTTTGCGTTATGATTCAAAAATGTTAGATGTGAGCCTCCAGGTGTAGCAATGTGTAAGCCTAAAAAAATATAAAAAAGTTTATAAATAATAAAAAAACATTAGTTAAAATAATATAGATTGATTGAACTTACGAGCATTCATAAAATAGAAGTCTAGGTAATAAATTCTAGGCTTTTATCCTTCAACAATAATGACTAACCAACTAAAAACCATAGACCCTTTATATTCAAGTTTCAAAATCCAGATTTCTCCAATTGTTCAAATGATCAAATCATATGTTTTAGATTAGAAAAATTCTTCATCATTCAAGTTTCCATCACTAATGAGATATCCATATAATTTATACTAGATTTCTGGTTAGCCTGCATTTTAGAAGAAAGTAAATATTTTAGTTGGTTCAATTTATGCAAAACCTAAATAAATAAATAAAAAGAAAAGAAATTCATTGGCAAGAAAATTGAAAGGCAAAAATTGGGTAGATGGCTTTTTTTTTATGGAGAAAATAGAAAAAATGGCAAACTTGGGAAGCTATAGGCCCATGTTTGGTTCAATTCTCATTCTTTCTCATTCTTACCCAAGATGAAATTCTAAAATGGATAAGAATAGGTAAAATGAGAAAATGTTGCTATGAACTAAAAACCTTTTTCCTAAAAATGAATTCCTTTTAGACCGACAAGTGCCCTATGTTGTTTATTTTCATTTTTCAAAAAAAAATAAAAATCTATGCTGGCAATCATAAACTGCCAGCCTAGGTCTTCGAAACTGTTGGCATAGATGTTTACCAGCAAATGGCCAGTGGTCAATGTATGTCGAGGCAAGTTTCCATGAATATCTATTAGTAACCATCTATGGTGATAATTTTGTAGGCATAAAGTTTCTTTAAAGAATGGAAATGAGCAAGATGAGGCATGATTCCTTTTCATGTTGCAAGCAATTTCAACTTTGGTGCTATGGGGTGATTTTTCATTCTAAAAAGAATGAGGCCCATGGCAAGAACTTTATAACCAAATGCTCTAATGTTATTCATTCTTGTCCATTCTTGCTCAGAATGAACAAGAATTAAAAAATGAGATCCAGAGTAGGGCTTATGTCTATGTAGGCCTCACAACTTGAGGCTTGCACATCTTTTTGACAAACACTTAAACTCCAACCAAAATTATAAGGCTTGAACCTTGGTGCAAAATCTGATAGCTTTAAGAGTAGGGCAAATATTTTCATTGGCTCTATAAATTAAAACAAAGACAAGGACCGATAGAGCTATATGGATATATAGTGATATGGGGTACATGAATGCCAAATGATCTTGTTTCATGGTCATCCATCAACCTCTCTGAAAATGGAAAATAAGTAAGAAACAGAAAGCCAAGGGAATCTGCACTGAATGTGTAAATAAAGAAGTAAAACAGTAGCAGGTTGGTTAGATGATGATCCGTTCAATAATTCAGTAGAACAGTGAAGGAAAAGAATATATAAAAGTCAACGAATGCAGTATGGACACAACTAACAACTTCACACGGAAAGTGAAAAACAGAATAAAAACCGGCAAACCGTCTAGCAACAGCTGGATCTTGACCGGCTTCAATTTATAATTATAAACTGGAGACAGCAACAGCAACATCGCCGGAGGCAGAGATCAATCCAGTCATTGTGCACAAGGAGTAAGGACTGAGGAGGAGGAGGAGATGGGTCGGCCCTCTAGCTTTGCTCGTTTTCTGATTTTGGTGATCTTTATAGCATTCATCTCTGCCATGCAGTTGGGATTGGTTAATGCAGGTGGGGATGTTGTGAAAGTAGATTATTGATCGATATTAGCTAGGCTTCGTTAGATCCATACTTCTAATCTCCTGGTTGTTATTACTTATTAATGGTTGGTTTTGGTTTTAAATTTGCAGATTCTATGGTGAGAAAGATGCTTGAAAGAAGATCTATACCTACATCTCCTCCATCTCCAAATCCAAACCGACCAGGGCCACCTGATAGGTTGCTGAACTGATTTAGTATGCGCTTCTCAAATGCAATAAATAATTGCTCTGCTGATTAAACAGGGTAACTGACAAGTCCACTCCATCCATGCATAAGGAAACTGAAACAAGTTTTCTTATATCTGCATCTGAAAGTTTTCCGATTGGAATAATGAATAATAAAACCCTGGGATATTGATATTCTTGATTGGAATTGGATGATCCATAGTGTCAGCATAAGTGGATTATTCTGCAATATTAAAGCCAATGCTTTTCAAGAGCGATTTGCTGCCAGTACTTCGTCTCTCGTATTCTAGCTCCTCCGTCCTTGTTGTTCTCAAAAAATGAAATAAAATGGTGCTATTCTGCTGGTGGTTTTTAAATTTTGGTTGATCTCATTATTATCTGGTTGGTCCCCTGAAGGTTCTGTATTTTGAGATGTTTTCTTTCAAGTTTCAATTGTGTTGAGCCCTCTTTTCCAAATGTTAAAAGAGTGGAAGAGAAAAGGACAGTGATGGCACCAAATTTGAGAAATTCTCAAACTATATATATATATATATATATATATATGCTATCAAATACGAGTTCACATCTTCTCCTCACAAGGGGCCGCTCCACAACGTCCACAGTACACCCCCGCCGTGTATTGGGAATATCTCCTCACAGCACAAGGCGTTGTGGGGCGATCCCTTGTGGGAGATGTGATCTCATCAAAAACGTAACTTTCCTACACAATCATTATAGGGATGATAAAGATAATTTTTGGGTTGAAGGGATAAGAGAGAGAGATATTTAACGGTTTAAACTTTTGGGTCAAAGGTGATGTATAACAACTAGGGGTGTCAATTGGACTGGATTTAGTCCAATCCGATCCAGTCTAATTCAATCCAGTGAATGCTTTGGATCAATTTGGACCAGTCTAGTTCAATTTCTGGACCGTCCAATCTATTCAAATTCATTTTGATTTAGATTGGTTTCGACCCAAATCCGGTCCATTGATACATATATTCTTATCTTATATTAATAGACCAGATATTGGCTTAATCCAACCCAATCCAATATAAATTTATTATGGACGGACTAGGTCCAATCCAATCTAATAAATATTTTGGACTAGATAGATCCAATCCAATATGTTTTGTTGGTCCGTCTAATCAATCTAAATTAAATTTAGACTCCAAACCAAAACCGATCCATTGACACCCTTAATAACAACCCACTTTGTAACTAAAGCATGTAAGGGCTTCCCTATTTTGACGACTCTTCTTACATGTTCGGACAGATGCATGTGACCGTTCAAAATTTTAATATTTTTATAAAATTCGACGATAAAAAATTTATTATGAATACAGGTGGCAAGGGCTTTTGAAGTTGAAACTAGTTCCATGAATATATAGAAGTTGAGGAGAAGAGTGGGTGATGCCTATTTCTACTCCCAAACTACTTTACCATGCGAAATATTTATTTCTTGTTTGTTTGCCTCAACATTCATTCAAATCTTATATTATTAAATATGCATTTAGTGTTCAAATTCGAGTTTATTTAAACCGGAATCAAGAACATGAGCCATTCAATTGCGTTCATCTTGCTACAACTATTTAATAGAAACATATGAGACTACTGCCGATTAATGATGATACATTGCATATGTTTGAGATTGAGCAAGCGGTCCTCACTAATGATGCGTATCAACTAAGAGTCTGCTTGATTTATAGTTAGAATCAGATATGTTTGGTTCGTATAGGAATTAAAATGAGAATTGTAATCATCTGAAATGGGCTTTTCCTCAAATGTAGAAATACCATTTCACCAAAAATGAAAATGGGATTCCAATTCCACCCAATCAAATAATAGAAATCAGACTGTCTGATTCCAATTCAAGGCCCCTATTCTAACGAGTCCTAAACCTTTATTTACAGCTACAAATGGTTAGGAATGGCATCAGGAAATTGAGTGAGATGCCCGGGAAAATTGTCCTTTTCATTCTTGAACCCACTTAATTACCTCTGGATCTCTGATATCAAATCTGTTTTAACTTGTTCTTTTCTCTCAATTTTCCAAACCTGTTTTATCCCATTCTAAATCGTTGAATAGTTTATGATAAATGCTAAAACATCCTCTCATCTCACCTTCAATTTCCAAAAGGATTCTAACCTACTTTGTTGACTGAAACGGCAAAGATAAAATCACCACTCGCTTGTTCTGCACGCAAGTTACTCTTATCAAGTTGGCATTTCACATTACATTATTAGAGTTTTGTCGGAACCCCAATTGTCCCCATATTGGGCTTGGTTTTAAATAAATGGAGCAAAATGTCCACTATGGTTAATGGATCGGATTCTAGTTCAATCCGATTTAATTTGACAATAATAATATAACCATTTATATTAAGGCAGATATAAGTTCAATTTAGTCCAATCTGATCAGATCGAACCCCGTTTGGTTTGTGGGAATCGGGGTCTGAAATCGGAATCAGAATGGGCCGATTTTAATTTTTGGTTGGGTGGAATCAGAATCTTATTCCCATTTCTTCTAGAATGGTATTCTCCCATTTGAGGGAATGGGCATTTCTTGCCTCTTTCTTGGAAATGAAATCCCATTCTCACTGATTCCAATTTTCATTTCCATTCTTCCCAAAACCAAGGCTCTAAATATCAATACAGGCTGATATGCCGGTATCAGTAGGGTGTATTGGCCTGTATCGGTGCTTTTTTATGTTTTATTTATTTTTTTCAAAATCGATTCAGAGGGATCAGTTTAAGTCTTGACTATCCTCTGAACCATGGATTGACCCAATACACTCCCTATAGGGGCATATCGGGAAGGCTCTGATATAGACCAATACGTAACAATATTTTAAACTTTAGTCAAAACCAAACAGACTATGAGAATAGATCATTCTAATTCCGATTATGAACCAAATGGACCCTTATCTTATTAATTGAAACTAATAAGTTTTTCACATACATAAGTATATTTTTAGAGGCTAATAGGAATTTCAATGTCTGTCTTAATTTTTGGTATTAGATTCAAACACCCAAAAACCTTTTGTATTTATAAAAGGTTAATTGCGAAGTTCTTTACAAGGAATGTTTAAGGATTAAAGTAATTTTCAAAAACCTGGAGGTTTAAAGAATTTCTCTCTTTCACAGACAAATCTTTGCTAACTATGGTTTGTAAAAAGAAACCAACCCATGTAATGTAATGTAAGACAAGGTATGGCTCCACAACTTCCAAAAGAGTATAAATGCTACAATCAGCATGCGACATCTGTCCTTAAATGTATTTACGGCTGTAGTGTAAAATTATACATTTTGTATTTATAAAAATGTATATATATATATATATATATAATATAAAATACAAGGATTTACACTATATATTTATAATTGTACTCCATCCAAATTGAGCCTGATTCATTAAATCTGGATCCACTTCCAATAAAATGCATTCCAAGAGGCTTCCAACCTGATCTGACATTGCACGTATCAAAGTCGTAGTTTTATGGTGAGGTGTGCGGTGTCAGATCATATTGGAAGCCTGTTGGAATGGGTGTATTGGAAGCATATCCCAACTCTAATTCATCACACAAGTGGGTTGGGATGCACACTTGCAAAACTAATGCCACACGTTGATTGTGCCTTTGTGTGCTCACCAAATGTGTACTAGATATGGACTCCCCTATGTTATGATTAGCCCATGACGTTCTCAAGTTCAAGTCCACAAAAAGAACTGTTTCAAAATATAGTAGGATGGTTTGAATGCGGATTTACTGTAATCTATTTGGTGTGGGATGTGGTACATTTCTAATGAAATTCAACCATGTTTGGGGCGTTAGTGTCTAAATTCAATTTTTGATTTCTTAAAAAAAATAAAGGTGAAAAAAAAAAGAAAATTTATTGTCCAATCGAATCAGGGGAGAGGTTAAACAAAAAATAGGAAAACTCAACCAAGTGCTTGCTTGCCCAAACCCTAGATGTGCAAATGCTATTAATAACCAGAAACTGTTTTTGCAAGAAACTCAACCCATGACTTGGGGCAGAAATCTTTTTGCCAGAAATAGTGTTTCTTCTTCACTAGTTTATTTTCTTCTTTGGGTGCCATTAACAATCGGAAATCATTTTGCAAGAAACTTAACTCAAGAATAGGGAAGGAAATCTTTTTGCAAGAAAAGTGTTTCTTCTTCACTGGTTTGTTTTCTTCTTTGGGTGCTGATGAGGGGTAACTTGGCTCGACCTATCAACGCCTGGACATGTGGAAGTGACCTGTTGACTGGACGGCGACTAGGCATTCCCTGCCACCTCAGCAAGCCAGGTCAACTTGGGTACCTCGAGCACCTCGGCCAGGATCGAGATCTGAGGAGCTTGTGATGGTCCGACCTGCCGAGGCGACACGTAGCCAACTTCTAGAGGCTAGCCAGCTATCTCTGAGCTCTCTAGGATCACACCACACATCTGTAAGCCTTATCCTTATCCCGCCCTAGATCGGACGGACTCGATGAGACTTATCAGCTAACACGAAGTCCACCTCTTAGTGCGGAACGAATTCCTAGTAGCACAAATCGGGGATCTCGAAGGAGTTTCGTATGACCTATGACATCTCATTTATATAAGGGCATAAATTCTAACATCACAAGGTACGCACGATTAATAGCTCAATAGCTTACTTGCATGCAAGCTTTCAGCTTGCTCACTAAGAGTACTGACTTAAGCATCGGAGCACCCACACCGGGTAAACCACCCCGGGTTCTTTGAGTGTTACTTTCTTGTATTTTGACCAGCCAGCTGATCAGACAGGCATTCGAGCTGCCCTCCATCTAGGAACATCCAGATCGCGCACTATTAGGCACCATTAACAACCGGAAATCGTTTTGCAAGGGACTTAACCTAGGAACAAGTGCGAAAATCTTTTTGCAAGAAACAATGTTTCTTCTGCACTGGTACGTTTTCTTCTTTGGGAGCCATTAACAAGAGATTTGCAGATTTCTCAATCGTTTGATTTCATCAATATTTTTACATGTGCTTATATAAAAACAACCACACATTGTTTTTACAAAAATCTTGAACAACCACTGAAATGAAGAAACACTCTTCACTATTTCTTATCAAAGGATTTCCCTTCTTCGATTGGTTTCTTGTAAAAAGATTTTTAAATTGGTTGTTAGGGTTTTGAAAGGCTCAAGTTCCCTTTTTCATTTTTAGCCTATTTCCTAATTCAACTGGACAGTCAAATTTCCTATTTTTTTCACATTTTTCTTATGCACCATTTTCTTTGCTGATGTGTGGGTTGGAAGCACCGTTTTCCGAGAAAACTGTGTTTTTTTTTTTGTTTGGAAATGTTGCTGCCAGGTAGGATGTGTCTTGGAGCAACAACAACGTTTTCTGTTTGGTAAATTGGTACCAATGCTTTAGAAACGTTTTCAGCACTGGTACCTATTATCAAATGCCATGTCATGTCCC